ACCGAGAGTGTAAACAGCTTGTGGTCTGTACAAATATACAGCAATACTGTAGGTCTTGCATGGCGATGAGGCTTTATGAAATAAAAGCAACTTAAAATCATATATGTGTGTGATGAGCATGGAGTATAAAAAGTCCTTGACAGCAAAGCACAGTGTTTTTCGACCAGTGTGCTGTTGTATAAGTGTGCCTTGAGATGTTGTTTGGTGTGTCTTTGGAAAAAATGATCCAATATCACCTATTAAGGGTCAAAATAATGTGGGGAAAAAAATTATGTGAGAAAATTAGAATCACTCTATAGCCCTTGTTTTATTTTCCAATGCAACACCATTTGATGAGAAAGACTGCATAGTTTCTAAAAGTCTGAAGTTTCACGTTTGCATCCGTTTCATCTGGTGGTGTGCCATGGGACTGTTTTCACCACCTCTGCTGCTGCTGTGACCTAAAGCGCTGTTGCATTGTGTTACTATTGTTAGCTACTTTTAGAATTTTAGTATTTGCTTTGTTTGTATGAATGGAGGGGAGGGGGAGGGCACTCCAGGAGCAGATCATGACAGTACCCCCTCCTCAAAAATCGCCACCAGGCGAACCACCCGGCCGGTCAGGATGAGCACGATAGAAGTCCTCAATCAAGGCAGGATCAAGAATGAGACGACGAGACACCCAGGAACGCTCCTCAGGCCCATAGCCCTCCCAGTCCACCAGAAACTGGAGACCACGGCCGCGGCGGCGAACGTCAAGCAGACGACGCACCCTAAAAGCGGGATGGTCATCAACGAGCTGGGCGGGAGGAGGGGGCTCGGCCGGAGGGTAGAGAGGACTCTCACGCACCGGCTTTAGTTGAGAAACGTGAAAGGTCGGATGAATCCTCATAGCAGGTGGCAGTTTCAAACAAACAGCAGTCGGGTTAATTACTTTCTCAATCTCAAAAGGGCCAACAAATCGCGGTGCCAGTTTCCTTGACTCAACCCTTAAAGGAATGTCCTTAGCAGCAAGCCAGACTTTTTGACCGGTTCGGTACAATGGAGGTGGCACACGGTGTCTATCAGCGATTTGGCGGTTTCTTTCTGCTGAGCGAAGCAGGGCAGCTCGAGTGCAACTCCATATATGGCGACAGCGTTGCAAGTGGTCTTTAACTGAAGGAACTGCAATGTCTTTCTCCTGTTCAGGAAACAGAGGTGGTAAGTAGCCTTGGGCACATTCAAACGGGGATAGGCCGGTAGCTGAGGATGGGAGAGAATTATGCGCATACTCAACCCATGGAAGATACAAGCTCCAGTCAGAGGGATTCTGTGCCACCACACATCGAAGAGAGACCTCCAAATTCTGATTAGCTCTCTCACATTGACCATTCGTCTGGGGGTGGAATCCTGAAGAGAGACTCACTTTGGCACCTAGAGACTGACAGAAACACTTCCAAACATGGGAAATAAACTGGGGGCCCCTGTCAGAGACTATGTCTACTGGCGTCCCATGAAGTCTGAAGACGTGTTGGACTAGTAAGTCCGCAGTCTCACGAGCAGACGGCAGTTTTTCCAAAGCAACAAAATGAACAGACTTAGAAAACGATCAATGATGGTGAGAATGATAGTTTTACCGTGAGACACTGGTAGCCCTGAGACAAAGTCTAGGGCTATGTGCGACCAGGGACGAGAGGGGACAGGCAAGGGGAGGAGTTGTCCTGCCGGTTTCTGATTGGATGCCTTATTCCTGGCGCACACTGTACAGGCTAGAACAAAGTCTCGTGCGTCCCTCTCCATTGTTGGCCACCAGAAGTATCGACGAAGCAAAACGAGGGTTCTACGAATCCCAGGGTGACAGGCAAAGTTAGAAGTATGTACCCATTGAAGGACCTGGGAACGTACAGAAAGAGGGACATATAAACAATCAGGAGGTCCATTACCCGGGTCTGGTTCTGATGCCTGTGCCTCACGGACTCTTGATTGTATCTCCCAGGTAATTGATGCAACCACACATGCGGGGGGGGAGAACAGTCTCAACAGGATCAGGACAGTCTGTAGGTGAAAACTGTCGAGAAAGAGCATCAGGTTTTACATTTCTTGAACCAGGTCTATAAGTTATTGTGAAGTTGAAACGATCAAAAAACAGTGCCCAACGTGCTTGACGAGAATTGAGGCGTTTGGCTGACTGAATGTAGGACAAGTTTTTGTGATCAGTCCATACAATGAAAGGAAGTTCCGCACCCTCCAAATAGTGTCTCCATTCCTCCAGTGCCAATTTTATAGCAAGCAATTCACGATCCCCTATGGCGTACTTGCGCTCTGCTGAGGACAGCTTGCGAGAAAAAAATGCGCAGGGGTGTACTTTTTGGTCTGAAGGTGATCTCTGAGACAGCACAGCACCAACACCACAGTCAGACGCATCAACCTCTACTATGAATTGCGCCTTAGGATCAGGATGTATCAGGATTGGAGCAGAAGTAAATAGCTCTTTAAGATTCTGAAAGGCTCGCTCAGCTGGAGGATCCCATACAAAACACAGTTTAGATGATGTTAATCGAGTTAAGGGGGCTGCAACTTGGCTGTAGTTCCGAATAAAACGTCGATAAAAGTTTGCAAAGCCGAGGAATCTTTGTAATTGCTTACGGTTTTCTGGTGTGGGCCAATCAACTACTGCCTGAGTCTTTAATGGATCCGGTCTTACTTGCCCACTGCCGATTATGTAGCCCAAAAAAAACTCACAGACTGGACATTGAATTCACATTTCTCCGCCTTGACATAGAGCTTGTTCTCCAATAGTCTCTGAAGCACCTGGCGTACATGGACCACATGTTCCTCTGGAGAAGATGAAAAAATCAAAATGTCATCGAGATATACAAAGACAAAACGATTCAAGAAATCTCGAAGAATATCATTGACCATAGCTTGGAATATGGCAGGTGCATTGGTGAGGCCAAAGGGCATTACTAAGTATTGAAAATGCCCAAGAGGTGTCTTAAAGGCAGTTTTCCATTCGTCTCCATCTTTTATCCTCACCAGATGCATTTCTTAAATCCAACTTTGAGAAGATCGTAGCATCATGTAATGGTTGGAAAGCGGAGATTATGAGAGGGAGTGGGTATTTATTCTTTATGGTAATCTTGTTTAGGCCTCTATAATCGATACATGGGCGGAGTGACTTATCCTTCTTTCCCACAAAGAAAAACCCAGCTCCAACAGGAGAAGATGAAGGACGGATAATACCTGCTGCCAGCGAATCGTTGATGTACCTTTCCATGGTCTCGTGTTCAGGTCGGGACAAGTTGTAAAGGCGACTGGAAGGCAATGTAGCACCAGGAAGTAGGTCAATGCTGCAGTCGTAAGGTCTGTAGGGAGGAAGGGACAGAGCACGACTCTTGGAGAAAACGTCTGCCAGGTCATGATAAATATTTGGAACGTTAGTTAAATCTGGTGGTTCAGGTTGTTCGCCAACATGGTTATCAAGTGGAATGGCTGACTTCAGACAGGATGAGTGGCACATAGAACTCCAGCTTATTAATTTAGCGTCAACCCAATCAAACTGGGGATTGTGCTTCCTTAACCAAGGATAACCCAGGACTAAAGGAGAGTGAGGGGAGGATATTATATTAAACTGGAGAGTTTCTTGATGGTTTCCAGACAGTAATAACTTTAGAGGTATAGTACGATGTGTGACTTGCGATATGACCCTCCCATCCAAAGCCTTGGCAGTCAGAGGACTTTCCAGAGGCACCAGCTCCAAACCAGCTTGTCGAGCGAGATTATAGTCTAGGAAGTTCTCTTCTGCGCCAGAGTCAACGAGAGCAGACAAAGGCATTTTGATCTTGTTAAAACAGAGGGTTGCAGGGAGTAAAATCTTTGTATTGGGGTTTGGAAAGGAGGAAGTTTGGCCCACCAGTGCCCCCAGGCTCACTGATGAGCCCTTTCTTTTGGTCGGGATAGGCAAGTTGCAAGAAAATGTCCATGTTTACCACAGTAGATGCACTCACCAGCGGTAATCCTGCGCAGTCGCTCAGTTTGAGTTAGGTGAGCACGTCCCACCTGCATGGGTTCCTCATCAGACACCAGTTGTCTAGATTGACCAGCAGTAACTATGGGGGACAAGGCAGGGTTACGAAGTGGTGCAGAACGAAAGGTTGTAGACTGAACATGGCGACTGGTTCGTTCTCTTCGACGTTCACGAAGACGGTTATCAATCCTAATTGCAGAAGAAATCAGAGAATCAAGGTTATAAGAATCATCTTTAACAGCTAACTCATCCTTGAGTTGTTCTGAAAGACCATTAACAAAAACAGTCTGGAGAGCTGTGTCATCCCACCCAGCTTCAGAATTAAGTTGAGCTATTTGGTTGGATGTAGTCTGCTGGCTCTCAACTAAGCCACGGAGAAGCTGTTCGTGCTGACCAAGTACGGCACCTTGATTAGATACAGCCCGGACGATTCGGTCCTGTTCTTCTTCCGCTGGGTCCATGTTGGCCAGTTTGTACTGTCACGGTTCTGGATAGGACCCAAATGCAGAGGCAGAGGCAGTAGAATCCAAAAAGGTACAGATTTATTTACAAAAAGTGTATGGGCAGGCAGGCAGTCTACAGGGCAGGCAGGCAAGCAGGCAGGCAGGCACCGTGGGTAAAAAATCCAGATCTGGACAAAGGAGAAAAAGGTAAGTAATACAAAAATGCAACTGTAACGATAGAGCCAAGTGCTAAGAGACTGACAAGTGTCAAAGAAGCGACAAACTGGCGAGGAGTGGCTGTAGAGCTGCTCCTTTTGTGCTGGTGCTGATGAGATGAACCCAGGTGAGAATGCAGGTGTGTTGATTGGAGCAGCAGGACTACAGCAGACAAGAGGGGAGGGGGAGGGCACTCCAGGAGCAGATCATGACAGGATGTGTTTCTGCTGTTACTGGACACCTGAATTTCTCCAATAAGGATCAATAAAGAATCTATCCATCCATCCATCCATCTATCTATGATAAAGGTACACTGAGGTAGCACCAGTGCAGTAATGCCTCTGTCACATAGTCCTTCAGACCCAGCAATGAGTCACAAATAACCAGCCTGTATACTGGAGAGCGTGCCAGAGCCTGAGGCAGGAGGAGCAGGACAGACACCAGAGCTTATGGAGCTCCAGACACACTACAGGAGGCCGACCGGGCGACGTGCAGTTGGAACCAGCCCATGCTCCATGCTGCGACTGACAGAACAAGCAAAATCAAAGGTTGAAGTGTGTGTGTAGCGCGACATGTGTAGCGCGACATGCAAACTCACGCGCCTCTATCAAAGCGTTTTACAGAAGATTTTGCGAATAATCTCTTTTCTAAATAGTTCCAATCACAGATCAGACAGAAAAATGAAAAAGAGTGGACCGCCCTCACTCAGCCAATCAGCTCTCAGCCCAAAGCATCTAAAAGACAAACAGATTTCTCATAAATAAACAAAAGCATGTTGTGGTCTGATTTCTCCACAACATTATTATTATATTTGATAGATTATCATTTTTGATACATTTCTTGCGCTGAAATAAATATGTTTTTATGAAGCTGTCAACAGAACATTATTTCAAAAAATCAACTAGTAAAAAGGAAATACTGAGCAATATAAAGTGTCACTTATACAAGCCTTTAGTTCAAAATAATGATGGATGTAGAATTAGGAAAAGATTGACATAAAAGAAAAATAAAGTTAAAGCTAAAATCCAGTCACTCTAATCCTATTGTTTCGATGACATTTCATCTCAAAACTGTATTGTGGGATGTATTGTGCGTTTTTGACATTAGCAGACATAAAGCACATATTATATAAGCAAGGTTTATTTAATCACAAAACCTCCTCTTCATAATACTGCAATATGTCCATGAGGAGTCGGATTAGTCTGAAGAAGGCAAAGAAGTTACTAGCCGTGAATTCTGATGCCTCCCTCAGAACAAAAACAATAACAATAGTATGTCTGCAGACGTGGACAGAGATCAATACATTGCTGAACATCGGCTGAATCCACAAATGGAAATGGATTATAATAATTGGATATAAAAAAGTTCACGATCTTGATTGCATTTCCTCGATTATTTGGTCATTTTTATTATAGTGTAAAACCATATGAAACTGTAGCACTCTTAGCGCACACTACTATTTCAAGTTTTTCAAGTTTATTGTCATTTTGATGGAGTCAAATAAAACAAAACACTGTTCCGCAAAACCATCAATAAAATGCTACAATAAAATCTCTGCAAAGGGTCAAAAACACGTAAAAGCCAGTGCTGAATGCTCGATGGTGTCAGTCGTCCCCTTTCACACGTTCACACCACATTCAGTCAGACACACTCAGCTCTGGACTCTGCAGCTGCTTCACACAGAGCTGTTTCACATGATGCTGCTCTAAGATCCTCACACTTATGATACAAGATTTAATTATGACTTAAGCAAGAACACCCACCTGAGAGCCCTGTTCGGAGGTTTGAATCGAACAAAGAAGCACAAGCGCTAACCACTGCAACGCCATGGTTGCATGTGAAATAAAATATATGGTAGAGAGTATGAAGAGTAACAAATGGTATCTGCCTGTAACTCCTGCATGTTTTGTTCAAAATTCGAAAATGACCGGCTGCCAACACAGCCATGCACTTGTAAATTTTACCTAATTCAAACTAATTTATGGAGAATCTTTGTTTTAAAAGTCACAGAGCTGCTCTGAGCCTGACGTCATAGTGGTACAATGACCACAGTCAATCTGCAAATAGTGTGGATGGAGCTAAAAAAAATAATAATACTAAAAAATAAGTTTTTGAATGTGTATTCTTTCATTCTTTTCTTTATAATAACTGAAAATGTCAGTGCAACAATTCAAAAGGTCATTTCCAGGACTTGATTGACAAAAGCACAGTCCACTCTGAGCTGCAGTGACAGCTCGGAGGACTTACCTGCCAGCGCTTCTTGCCGATGACTTTCTTCTTCCTCTTGAGTGTCTGGGCGAGCCGTGGGTTGTTCTCCTGGTCTGATGGGGCGTGTTGGTGGTCGGTGTGGCCGGCGTTGAACCTCAGACCGTTGGGGACTGTGTGTGGCTTCTTCTTGTGCAGCGGTCCGCCTTTGTTGCCTCTGCTCTCCTCAGACGTCATGTTCTTCTGGACAGACAAGAAAACACATTACAAACGATGACTCTGTGGGAGATCACACACAAATCAAGAGGTTTGTTTGTTGTGAGCTGGGAAAGGAAAAGGTTTCAAAAGAATTTACACCGGCACTTTGGATTGATCTCTCAATAATGAAGACACCATCGCAATTCAAACCATTTCTCTACACACTTTTTTTTCACACAAAACTCCAATTTCAAACTTGATATTGAGAATAAAGAGAAGGCAATATCAGTATTTATTTAGAGAATATTTGTTGGAATCCTTATTAAAGTGAAGGTTTGTTACAGACATATTTTGATTTTGATTATAAGTGCCAGTTAGACCCGCCCTCAGAACTTCCTGACTGGACCCAATGAAATCCAATCCTTGATAAACATTTGAGCCCCCACGCCATTAGTTTGATTCAATTCAACTCAATGTATTCTTGTATAGCCCAAAATCACAACAGTAGTTATCGCAAAGGACTTAACAAAACTGTTGAAATTGCCAACACAGATCAGAGAATCAAACAAACAAGACTAGAGAACACATAGATATTGGTCCATAGGGGGAGTTGACCAATGTCCATGTGTTGATAAATGTCCATAGTTGGTTTAACTTTCTCTTTCAGCAAATATTTCTGGTGCTTTAAATATATAATTCATGAAAAATACAAAATTTGCGTAGGTTTCCTCCGGGTACTCCGGTTTCCCCTACCACTAAAAAAAAATGTGTCTCTCACTCTGTGTGGAGTGAGAGACAAATGCCCAAATATTAACAATTGTAAACCGCTTTGAGACTCAAATCTGCAGTAAAAAGGCTGTATATTTATTTATTTATTTTTTTTTTGTTTTGTTTATTTGAGCAGACAAGTACTGCTCAAAAGGAGTGGGCCGAAGCAAAAGCTTATTGGTGCCCACCCCCAAAACACTACATAAAAATATACACACTTTACATAGAACAGCAACTATGCAAATGTAAAAAATAAACAAGAAAGAACAGACGATAACAGCAACATTAACGGCAAATAAAGGCAACTGTTTAAAGCAACATCACTCTTCAAGGTCAATAAAGATCATAATGACTATAATAGGCAACAAAACGAAGTTGATAAAATAGAAAAAAAAAAAACAAAAAAACAAAAACAAAAACAAACACCAATGTATTTTAGCCCGATTGCGCCCCCTAGTGACATATAATTTCCTCCTCTTTATATTTATCGAAAGTCTTTTGTTTGTATTTAAATTTGAACACATTAATGTTTGGACTATGTTTCATCTCCCGCTCCAAATTATTCCACAGTTGAACCCCATTAACTGTGGGGCTGAAACTTTTCAGTGTTGAGCTGTGTTTCTGTATCATCAAGTTCAATTCTTCTCGTAGTTCGTAACAACTAGTTCGCTCTTGAAATTTGTTTTGGTAAATGTTTATATCTTGCTTTATATATCAACTGTACAGTCTGGAACTCAATAAGATCATAAAACTTCATAATCTTTGAATTTATAAATAACGCGTTTGTATGATCTCGAACACCCACTTTATGAATAATTCGAATGGCTCTTTTTTGCAGCATCACTAACGGTTTGACTGTATTTTTGTAAGTGTTTCCCCAGATCACAGAGCAGTAATTCAGATATGGCAGAATCAGAGAACAGTATAAAGTACGTAGAGCTTTGAAATGTAAAAACTGCTTTGCTTTTGCTATTACGGAAATACTTTTTGATATTTTAGTGGATATGTATTTAATGTGTTGTTTCCAAGTTAGCCTGTTGTCTATTTTAACTCCAAGAAATGTGATTTCTTGCACCTGTTCTAAGACAATACCCTCTATCCGAATCATCTCCTGAGTGTTGGAATTACCTTTGCCAAATATCATGATTTTACTTTTACTTAGATTTAGAGATAACTTGTTTTGTTTGAACCAATAACTTACTTTTTTGAGTTCCAGATTAACAGTTTGAAATAGCTTATGTAAATTATCACCGGTTGCAACAATATTTGTGTCATCGGCAAACAAGATAAATTTCAGTATTTTAGATGTTTTAAAAATGTCATTTATGTACAGATTAAACAGTTTTGGACCAAGAATGGAACCCTGAGGTAAACCACACACAATTTCTAAACAGCTTGATTGAAAATCACCCAGTTTCACATATTGCTTCCTGTTTTTTAGATAACTGTTGACCCACTGTAATGCCACCCCCCTGATCCCATAGCGTTCTAGCTTCTTAATTAATAGTTCATGGTTTATGGTGTCAAATGCTTTACTGAGGTCAAAAAATAGTCCAATTGCTTTTTTCTTATTGTCTATAGCGTTAGTAATTTCTTCAGTTATGTCAAACAGTGCATGTGAAGTTGAGTGATTTTTTCTAAAGCCAAACTGATTGTCACAGAGTGTATTGTTTTTTTTGATGAAGCTGTCAAGTCTGGAAATGAAAATGTTTTCTAAGATTTTGGAGAGTTGTGGTAGAAGTGAAACAGGCCTATAGTTTGTAAATATATGTTTGTCTCCAGATTTAAGCAGGGGAATTACTTTGGCTACTTTCATGTGTTGGGGAAATTGTCCAGTTTGTAGTGATAAATTACATATGTGTTTAAATGGCTTTGAAATACCCGCAAAAACACTCTTTAAGGTCCTCATGTCCAAATCGCAGTAGTCAGTCGATGTTTTGTCTTTAAACCCTCTCACTATATTTATTAACTCATTTTCTTCTACAGGTTTCAGAAACAGTGAACTTGGGTTGGTTTCTATTTGATAGCAGGAGTCTTTCTCAACATTTGTGATGTTAGCAGCCAGGTTTGGACCAACATCAACAAAGAATTTATTAAATGTTTCAACTACTTCATTCATATTAACTATGGTTTTATCCTTGTCTTTAAAATATTGTGGATGATTTATCATTCTGGGCTTATTTCTAATTATTTTATTTAATATATTCCATAACCCTTTAATATTGTTTTTATTCATTTCTAGCAAGTTATTATAATAATTCTTTTTGCAGTTTCTAATAATATCAGTGAGTTTATTTTTATATATCTTATATTTCTCTTCAGCTTCTTTTGTTCGTTTTTTAACAAAGTTTTTGTAAAGATAATTCTTTTTTTTACATGCGTTTAATAATCCTTTCGTCATCCATGGGTTTTCTATGATCTTTCTTTTTTTACTGTATTTTTTTACTGGACAATTTTTATCATATGCTTCTTGAAACACTTTCACAAACTCCTCATACGCCTTGTTACAATCACTCTCTAAGTAAATATTGCTCCAATCATTCATCAGTAGGTCATTTTTAAATGCTTCAACTGTTTTATCTGTTTTTACTCTTTTACACAGAAACATGTTTTCATCATTATTTTTTAGGTTGTCATTATCATACAGTACAAAGACAGGAAGGTGGTCACTAATATCATTTATCAAAAGTCCGCTGATAGTTTTACATTCTATATCGTTTGAAAAATATTGTCTATTACTGTTGCACTGTGGGTTGTGATTCTGCTTGGTTTAGTGATCAATGGAAACAGTCCTAAAATAAATAGAGTGTTTATAAAGTCGTCCGTTTTTTTATGTTTGTTTTGGTTTAATAAATCAATATTGAAATCCCCCCCCCCCACAAACATAGACTTTTGACTGGAGCTGGTGAAGTGCTCCTCCATCCAGTTAGAAAAAAAATCTAAGTCTGAGCCAGGTGCTCTGTATATACAACTAACAAGAATACTTTTATTATTTTCTCTTTTGATTTCAACCGTAAGACACTCTAAAATATCATCCACTGCCATTGTCTTATTTTCAATCACTTTATGATTAAAATGTGAGTTAATGAACATAGCCACCCCCCCACCCTGCTTATTTAATCTGTTTTTACTGATGAAATCATACCCCTCTATGTAAAATTCTGTTTCCCTGTCCTTGTGAATCCATGTTTCAGTTAATAAGATGATTGTAAATGGTTTTGTAAAATGACTTAAATACTGTTTGATGTGATTGAAGTTAGCATATAGGCTTCTACTATTGAAATGGATGATGGAGAATGCGTTATTGTTGATGATTTGACTGTTGAAGCGGTGTTCAGTGTAATATTGACAGTTGTTGTTGGGTCCTGTAAAAAAGTTCGTGTCCGGGTCGATGTCTATATCAGTGTTCTGTGTTTCGTATTGGGCGAAAGTGTAGTCCAAGTCTAATGTTTCTATGATCGTCCTGAGTGAATGATCCAAAGCAAAATGTCCTGTTGTGTGTGATGTGTTAGTGGCCATGAGGAAAAAAGTGCGAGCATACCGGGGTTATGCTGAATGTCCTGTTTATCTGCCTTGGTTCGGTGTGCTGGTGGTGCGCGGGTGAACTATAAATAAAGATTACTACTACTACTACTACTTTTAGAGAACATCTTCAATAAACGTGAATTATTTAGTTTTTTACTCTGATGAGGCAAATGAACTTTCACTAACAGGAAAAAATGGTGGATGGAGCTAAACTATTCCTTGTCGGGCACAATATATAGGAAAATATTGTAATTGCGATAATAGCAAGTGCAATATCGATACCGCAATGATGTGCAATAATTTGTCATCGTTTTTGTTTTAGTAAAAGCACTGCAGCTCCAAAATGTGGGAATACTTTGGTCTTTAAGACACATGATTGTTATAGAAGTAAGTAGTATGCAATATCTCCTTTGTTTTATACAAACTTAATTTCTTTGGTGAATGAAAATAGCCATGATACCACTACTGCACATGGCACTTTTGTCCAGTATCGTGCAGCGCTGGTTCATTGTATCTTTGAACACTTAACACGCTTCTACAGAACATTCAGCCTCTGTTTGATGAAAGCAGCAGGACAGCGTCTGCCCAGTGCCCATCACAGAGGCACTCACAGTGGCCCTCACATATGGACAGTAGTATTATGCAGCATGAGTGATGGCTCCACTTCTCATACTTGGAATGACTCGGTGTAATGATGGGAATGTCTGGTAATAGAAATGCCAGTGAGAGGCCGCCCTGCAGCAGCCCCGCAG